TGCAGTTCCTTGTGCCAAAAAATAGCACAAAAAGGACAAGTGGAAGCTGGAGAGATGGCTCAGTGGTTAAGAGCATGGGCTGCTCTTCCAAAGGACTCAGGTTCGATTCCCAGCACCCACATAGCAGCTAACAACAGTTCATAACTCCAGTTCCAGGGGATCCAACACCCTGCCCTCTTCTGACCTCTGCAGGCATTGCATGATACGGGCACACACACAAATGCAGGCAATACAGTCATATATAAAATAAAATATTTTTAAAAACAAAGGGGCAAGTGAGGAAAACACTCTGATATTGAGGTTGGTATAAGTGTAGCATACTGCTACAACTCCCTAACTAATCTTGTCTCTTCCTGAGGGGAAGCTACTAAAGCATTTAACATAGGAAAAGTAAAGTGCCAACTCATTACACCAAAAATCTTTTTTAACGCTTAAATTTTTATTTTTATAAACATTTACAACCTAGGTCAATTATGGTTACAGTAAGTGATTCAGCATCTGAAAAAACTTCTTGGAAAATAAAAATTGAACAGTAAAATAATAAAAAGGCTTGTTCGGGGCTGGAGAGATGGCTCAGCCATTAAGAGCACTGGCTGCTCTTGTAGAGGACCCGGGTTCAATTCCCAGCATCCACATGGCAATTGACAACCATCTGTAACTCCAGTTCCAGGGAATCTGATGCCTTCTTCTGACCTCCTTGGGCATTGTACGACCCTACCTACAATCAGGCATTACACTCACACACATAAAAAATAAAAATAATAATGGCACACGCCTTTAACACCAGCACTTGGGAGGCAGAGGCAGGAAGATCTATGTGAATTCAAGGCCAGCGTGGTCTACATAGCAAGTCCCAGGCCAGCTGGAGCTACAGGGAGGCCCTGTCTCAAGAAGACCAATAATAATAATAATAATAATAATAAATAATAATAAATAAAATATTTTCAAAAAGGCATTTTCATATACAACCTGCATAGATGGAATATACATATTTAGAAATCAGCTATCAAAACTACATGCCAACAATTAATTGTAACAATAGAAATATTGTCTTTATAGGAGTAGAATATTTTGAAAGTTATACCTCCCGATCACGTCTCTTTTTAAAACGTATTACATCAAACTTACTTTACGCTTTTCAGCAATTTTTCCCTCGATGTAAAAGGACATTTTGTAAAAATAAGGGTGCACATTTTTGCATTTTTTAAAAACTAACACTTGCATTGTATATAATGCCTAAAACAGGATTTTTTTTCATCAGGCTGATTATAAAACAACTATTCAGGAATTCTTTAAGCAACTATAATTCTTCTCCACTCAGTACTAGAAATTTTTAGGAATTTAAGGAATTGGAGAAACATTACTCTCTTAACAAGATACTTCAAGACACCAGAGGAATTAGGAATTTCAACATTCAGAATATCCTAACATGAGAGAAGGCAGAGGAGAGATATTTTTTATGACAAAGTAACTATAACAATAAAAGATGGCATCCTTTCTAAAGAACATGGCAAAAAAGAAACAAAGTTGGCTCCAAATTATTACATTCTATGAGTAAATGCCAAAACCTACAGACACTTCTGTCACCTTCAGTCTTAAAAGTTGGAAATAAAATATACAACTTTACTATGATAATCAGAATTTAATTTTACATATGGTACATACCAAATGTATGAACTGAGCCCCTTAGTTTGGTTTTGTGCTTTAGTTCAACCAATTATCTTCCAAAGATTTGCAATGTATTGGAAAGACTTAAAATGTTTAAAGGATTGGATTTATTTTAGAAAATCAGTTTGAGAGTCCAAAGTTTAATTTATTTAAGACAAATATATCAGTTGTCCCTGAATTTAGACTACTGATTTAAACATCCAACACAGTCCTATTTGTCTCAAAGGTCACATTTTTTGACGTAAAGTGTAACTGGCTTTATGTTAAAAACCATGCCTTGTGCCTTTCTTAGCAATTGGATGGAATTCAGCGAAATGTACAGCCAACATACCACCATTTGCTGCTCTCTCAATTTTGAAACTCACATTTGCCAAGATCAATAACACAGGATATGATTCAAGAACTTTAATATATCAAAACAAAGGGATGAGCTCCTCGGGGCCTCTAGACAGAACATAATCCCAAAATGGAACTCAGAATACAAACAAGTTATATTTTTATATTAGATACTAGAATCAGTACTTCATTCCTTATTTCACCTGGAGGCTGAGACATCAGAATAAGATCTGGATAAATCATGGGCTCAGTCAAGCCCATGGAGAGAACAGCAGCATCCTATCAGAAGCCAGTCTCATCAGTGCGCCTCTGATTCTGTTTCAGAGCAATGGGGTTTGCTGTTTGGGCCAAATTAGGAGATATTGAAGCAGTTTAGGGAGGCAGTATAAACCCCCAAGCCCTGCCAGTCGTGTCCATGACTCCTGTAGCCACATGCCTGCTTCCAACAAGAAACAGGCTGATCTCATTTAAGAAAAAGGAGGAAGAAAAGATTGGAAAACTGAGATTTCCAAGAAGGTCTATTCCAAGAAAAAGGAAATGAGCTCAAAAGAGTTTGGCACCCAAGTCCAGAGAAATAGGGGCAAAGGGAGAGGAGGAACCTCCCAGAGTTCTGAGGTCTGCCCAGTGTGCAGTCTCTCTGCCCTAGTGAAATCTTTCCCATTATACTACAAAATGACCTGCCTGCACTCAGAAAGGATTAAGCTCAATCATCTGAAAAGCCCATCAAAATCCAAATGAATCACCCTGAAACCATCTTGCACTTGATGATGAGAGGCTGATTGGTTAAGAGCAGAGCTCTGAAGCTTGGGGGGCTATTCCTGGTTCCACCAGTCCTGCAGCCTATTAAACTACTCTGTGTCTCCAATTTCTCACACGTGAACTGTGGTTAATCACAGTGCACCTGCCTTGTAAGATGGCTGCCAAGGATCCAATGACTCCAGACATGCAGGATGTGGACAGCAGCTGTTTGCACACAACAAACATGCAGTACAAAAGTGATTTCCAGGGCTGGAGAGGTGGCTCATGGGTTAACAACACTGGCATTCTTCCAGAGGACCCACCCACACGGTGCCTTTTGTAGCTCCAGTTCCAGGGGCTCCAACACCCTTTCTGACCTCTGTGGGCATTGTACAACATGAGTGCACTTACAGGCATGCAGGCAATATACACATACACATACACATAAAAATATTTTTAAAAAAATGGGCATGGTGATGTATGCTTTTAATCCCAGCACTAGGGAAGCAGACTCGGGCAGATCTCTAAGAGACTGAGGCAAGCCTGGTCTACATAGAGTTCTAGGCTAGCCAGGGCTACAGAGAGACCCTATCTCAAAAAACTAAAAAAATTAGAACATGATTGTCCCTTGCCACTATTCCCTGGGGAGAGGCCTGTTTCCTGCTGTGCTACTAAAGAAAAGGTGAGTTTGCAGTTCTAGGGAGGCAGAGGCAGGAGGATCCCTGAGGCTCACCGGCCACCAGCCCAGCTTACTAGGTGAACAAGGCAGTGAAAAACAAACCTTGTCTGAAAAAAAACAAAACAAGGTGGACAGCGCCAGAAGAATAACACCTGTTGACCTCTGCCCCCCACACACATATGCAACCACACACACATACACCAAAAAAAAAAAGTGAATTTTGACTAGGAAAATTATAACCATGAGCAGACTCTTTCTCAACTGCATTTAGTGGGTGACAGTGAACTTCTTGGAGCTTTTAGGAAGAATGTGATACAATGGTGTGACAGGAACTCTGTATCTAAGCCACCTTTCTAAGCCAGGTGTGGTACAGAAATCCTCCCCAGGGGCATGGTGCTTGAACCAGGTGGAGCTCCCCAAGGAGAGACGCCTACTATTCTGGTGGCTCTGCTCATTCCCAATGCCAGTGAGGACTTGTGTGAAGGTTCTAGTCAATAGCTGAGCAGGAGGCAAATCCCAAGTCATCCTGAACAATAACGTGTCAGCTGCGGGGACACCTGTAGATCTACCAGAGAGATGGTCACAGACAGTGTAAGCAGAAACCAAAGACTAGTAATCCAGAACCTAGAAAACATCTCAGAACACCCATCTTTAGGAAGAATTTGACCTTTGTTAGCCCATGGGTAAAACCTATTTGGGAGGCTGCTGAGGAGAATGACCACAGAAGAGCATGGACCAATACCCATAAACTATACCTGTTTTCTAAGAATCACTGCAGTATACTTCAACTGGAATATTTTTATTTTCTAATACAATGTGCCTAGAGAACAGAGGTTAGTGCTCTTACTAAGTTATTTCCCAAGGACTCTAAGGGTCTGTGTATTTGGTAGGAATCACCCTGCTTCACTGAACATGTGACTCATACCTGTTAGAGAATATCAAGTCCCCTATTTCACAAGCACCTTCAACGAGTGTTGATTCAATAATGAAAATACCTGTCAGCCATTCAGTTTTGGAGTAGAATTTGTCTACCTCTAGGAATGACTGAACATTCTCCAAGGAGCTTGGATTATAACTACTCTCAAAATCCCAGTGAGAGAGGGGCAGGCCTGTGGTTTTCATTCTGATTTTAATTTTCTTATTTTACAGCATACTTACTTGTAAACTGAGATCACTAACAAACTTTTGAGTTCCTACTTTCTGAGAAGCAGAGACATCCTAGCCTGGAAAAGCTGTCTCTGCATTTGGAAGCCATATATATTTCAGGTAAATTTAGTACCTAAAACTGAGGAGTTAAGAAGGTTATGTGATTCTGTTCTCTCAGTTAAGAAGGGCATACACAATGTTATACATAGAGCAGTTTGCACACAATGTGCAAAACAAAGCGATTGTCGCTGGTGGTGGTGGTCCATGTCTCACTATGCTAACTGAAGTTTCTAGGTTCTGGCTCAAAATATAGAAATAGCTTGTTTAAAATATGCTCATTAAATTTAAAACATCAAATTCAGTATCATTGCACTGCTAAACAAGATACTTTCTTTTTCTTTTTCTTTCTTTTGGAGGGATATAAACATATTACCCCTGTGGTCCCAGTAGAAACTGGTATGAAGACTTTTAAAACTTCATTTTTCCTTGATGGGAGGTACCATGGTAACAGTCTGGTGAAGGTTCCCTAAATAAACAAAGGAAACAAATTGTCAATTAACAAACATTCCTCAAATTACTGGCTCAATTAGTCCAACAGGTAAAGGACAATTGCTTCTATCTATCCTTCAGGGGAGTGAGTCCTTCAGGGTGTTGTTTTTGTTAGACATCAACTTTGCCCTTTCCCCAGAGCTTTCTTCAAAAGCCTCTCCAGTCACAACAGTCCATGCACAGTTCTCAAAGATAAAGACCTCAATTTTCCAGGGTTACCTATGCCACAAGGTTTTTGCTATTCCATTCTTAACCTACTCCATTTCATATGTGTTGGATTTAAGAGTCAGACACATAGGAAAAAAAGAATTTATTTTGTTTCCTCTAAGCCAAGACTTAAGTTCAGAGAAATATATGAAGGAGGAAAAATAGGGGGAAGTTTAGAAATACTCGAAATAAATTTTAAATGACATGCCTTTTTACGTTTTCCTAACAAATGCCCCCTCAATTTTAATACAAAAGGGTTGTGTTGTACACTCAAGTTCCTGTACTCAGACTATCCAATAAATGTTTCTGACAGAAATAATTTGTATACAATATAAGTGAGAAAAGTTTCCTGGCCACATCTGAGTTTAATTTGCTGAACATACTGGTGAGAGAGAAGCTTGCACAATACAATATTACGCTGCAATATTCCATTCAGTACGGCATCTGTTCCCTGCGTACAGCTGTTTGCTGAGATAAGCTGGTGGGTTCTGTTCCACATATAGAATTGGGGTCAAAGCTTGCTTTTTAAAAAAAAATATTTTTAATTTATGTGTATGAGTGTATTGCCTGCATGTATGTGAGTGCATCTGTGTCGTGCAATGCCTTGGAGGTCAGAAGAGGGCTTTGGATCTCCCTGGAACTGGAGTTATGAATGTGTTAGCCACCATGTGGGTGCTGGGAATCGATTCTGGGTCCTCTGCAAGAGCAGTCAGTGCTCTTAACCACTGAGCCATCTCTCCAGCCCTTGTTTATTCTTTTAGCAGCTTCTCTGTGCCAGTTTATAGGGCTAAAATGTTGAGTGAAACAAATTTCTCCTGTAGTCCCAGCTGGCCTGGAACTCTCTATGTAGACCAGGCTGGCCTCAGACTCACAGAGATCTGCCTGCCTCTGCCTCCCAAGTGCTGGAATTAAAAGTGTGTGCTCACCACACCCTGCTCCAAGGCTTACTTTTTAAAGTTTTATTTCTGTGGTCCTATTTATCATCAAAATTGACATCAGTCCAATAAAATCCACAACCCTCAATTCTTTAAAGTCCTTGCTTCATGTTTACTACAAAGTAAATTCTCACCATTTAAAATTGACAGTTTAGGGGCTGGAGAGATGGCCCAGTGGTTAAGAACACTGGTTGTTCTTGCAGAGACCCAGGTTCGAATCTGAACACCCACATGGCAGCTAATGACTGTCGGTAACTCCAGTCCCAGGAGATCTGACAGCCTCTTCTGACCTCCTCGGGCATTGCATGACATGGGTGCACTTACCTACCCGCAGGCAATACATGCATACACATAAAATAAAAATAATAAATAAAATTTTTTTTAAGTTTAGAAAAAAAAATAAATAAAATTGACAGTTTAACCAGGCTCATTGGTTCATCATCTGATCACAGCCACTTCCAGGATCTCTTCACTTTTCACTGAGATTTTTACTACCTCATGATGTGAGAAACACGGCATCACAGTGACAGCATGAAATTCAGGTTAAAAACAAGTTTTAAAAATGGTTCTACACAAGCCGGGCACTCAGGAGGCAGAGGCAGGCGGATCTCTGTGAGTTCAAGGCCAGCCTGGCCTGCACAGTGAGTTCCAGGACAGCTGGGGCTACAGGGAGACCCTAGCTCGAAAAGACAAAAAAAAAAAAAAAAAAAAAGGCTCTGCACACACTCCAGCCAGAAAGAGAAAAAAGAACTCCGTCCAGATGAATCACCCTGTATGTCTGTAGCAAAAAGCAACTGATTCTTAGACCTGCCTTTTTCCTTGACAATTTATGTTTAGGAAGACATATGACACACAGTAAATGTTACAACTACTTTTATTATTTATCATGACTATTATTATTATTATTATTGGAAGTTATAGACATCTACAAAAAAGCTACCTTAAGGGTACGGAAAAAGAAACAAAAACCAAAGGTGGAACTCAGACTTAGACCAGATATTAAGACACAAAGCATCATTTAAACCTATATCCTGCCAGGCGAGGTGGCACATGCCTTAGTCCCAGCACTCAGGAGGCAGAAAACCAGGCAGATCTCTGTGGGTTCAAGTTCAGCCCAGTCTACATATCAAGTTCCTGGCCAACAGGGGCTACAGGAAGATCCTGTCTTTAAAAAGGAAAAAAAAGAAAAAAAAAAAAACTTTTTTGGGCAAGAATCATCTTGATATCCCATATCAACAGGAAAAACAGATGCTCCCAGGTACAGCCAGACAAGGTTTATTGTCCTCTGTAATTCTTTTAAATTTATGTGTGTGCACATCTGTCTCTATGTGTATATAACATGCGTGTAGGTACCCGAGGACGCCAGAAGAAGGGGTCAGATCCCACAGAGCTGGGGTTACAGGTGGTCGTGAGCTGCTAGATGCTAGACGTGGGTGCTGAGAAATGAACTTGGGTCCTCTGGAAGAGCTGCAAGGACTCTCAGCTGCTGACCCATCTTTCTAGTCTCTGCCTTCTGCAATTCTTATGGAGCAATCAGAGTAGTCCGAGGCCAATACAGACAGTCCTTGTGGGCCTGGCACATAAACCACCTAACAACTCCTGGTAACTTCTTCCATAAATATCCCAGTAGATAGCATTGGTGGGGAGGTGGTCCCTAAGTTTATGGGTGACCTTGAGTCATAATTAGGACTTCTCAATCCATATTTACCATGGCTTACACTGTAGTGGAGTTATAGAATTCTTTTATCATATAAGCTAATGAGCTAGATTTTCACTTGTGTGACTGAGGCTTGGGAGGTAGGCAGACCTTTCTATGGGAGGCACAGAGCACCACTGAAATGCTGTCAACTTAAACCTTTAAGATACAATAATAAATTGAAAATGGTCTGCATCTTTTTCCCCCAACTCAGATATGAGACCATTCAATCAACACAAAACGGTTTTGCAAATCAATAGGCCATTTAGAAATGGCCTGTTTTCATTCTAGCACAGTGGTTCTTTAAAAATTGTCACACCCAATGTAGCAGCCTTCAGGCTCTGTGGAAGAGTCAGTTCAGAAAAGTTTTACTCATTGTAATGGTTACCATCAGCAGAGGGAGTTCACAGCAGGATGCTCCTCTGGGTCCATTAATCAATATATGGAAATCCAAACAAAAGACTTGTTTAGCTTTCCTTCCTAAAAGCATTTTTAATTCCACAAAGAAATCAGAAGTCAGAGACTGTAGCATGGTTAGAGGGCTAACTGTTCTGACAAATCTTTAATGAAACACTTGAGCACTATATTCACACCCGGTACTGTTTCACACACCAGCTTTTTATCCTTCAGCTCCAAATGGGAGAGTAACTCACTTTCTCGCTATTAAAATAGCCCTCTGTTTTTCTTCATCCTGTAATGCTGAAGTGGCTCCATAGGAACAGAAAAATTCATCATTCTTTCTACAAAAAGCTTCCTGCTCCCCTTTCCCGCAGTTATTAATGATGGTGGTTCACCCACGGGAAAGGAAACAGAGGGTCTTCTCAGGACAGCTGTGCCTTCCACACAACTCCATCTTATGACTGTTCCACCTTCTTTGTTCTTTGTTGTCTATTTTTTTCCTTAAAGTTAATATCTTCTGGATTTTTAAAAAGAGAGATGGGAAAACAAGCCAGAAATCAGCCAATACTACATCAGCATATTGCAAATCTCAGTAAGAGCATCTTTGAGGCTATGGTCCACACCTTGGCCTTTTTCTCCACACAGCACATACCCACACAAAATTCTACCATTTCAGGGAATTGGTTTCAAGAGCCTTCATGTACATTTACGGTTCATAAGGCAAATCTGAGTCAAATCCTGCTACTAGACCAATCAGGATCCTGTACCATTTGCAGCATCTATGAGGGTCCATTAGCAGACCTTTAGAAGAGTAGAGTTAAAGGTTTACCTTTCTAGAACATTTCAGTGAATTACAAACAGAAGAGTTCTCTGCAACGTCTTAACAGTTTACAGCTATCCATAGCTTCTCCCCAGGAAAAGTTCTATTTTGAATTCCTATTTGCTGCTCCCTTTCCCCTGGGAAACACCTAGGAGTATTCCTCAGCAGCTCTGAAGGATTCTCCCAACTAGTCTAGTCTCCCCTTCTTAAATCTAAAGACTTCAGGGCAAGCTCTAAGGGCAGCAAAAATGTAGGCCCTGCCACCCCGTCAGCATACTCCCACAAAGCAGGGCTCTATCACTCCAGGTTCACTTAGATGTCTGCTAGAAATGAGGCTGCCCAAGCCACACAGTAACCATAGAACACTTGACAGAATTTCAGGGTAGGGAGAAGCCTAGCAATCCATGCTCAGTGACTCTTAGGCATCTGCAGCTAAATATTCCTTGCAACTTATCAGCCTTCCACTGAAACCTGGGTAAAATTCTGTTCCCACACTCTTTTCTAATATTATGTGCTCATCTTTACATTGGACTTGGTTTATTTCTTACCTTTGTAGGAGAACCCGACTACATCTTACACATCTCAAAAAGACCTACATCAAACTCCTGTATTCCCGATACTGTTCTATTCTGATGTCTCTCTTGGTTAATTTTTGTTTGATTCCTGACATCAGAATTACTTTGCTAGAGGAGTCAGAAGTGGAGAAGTTATTAAAAATGCCAGTCAGTGAGACAGACTTGGGAGAATATGCAATAAAATGTAAACATGTCAGCATTCAAGAAACTAAGTTTGCACAAAATAGAGAGAACTCTCACAAGCCACCAAAGTCTTAGCTATTGAATGTCTACTTAAAAATAAACAAACTAAGCAAAGGAGTTGAAATCTTCATGTTTACTCTCTTAGCTAATGCAAGAGGCACA